TATATATTATTTGTTATAAAATTTGAAATTCTTTGACAACGTTTTTTTTTTTTTTAATTATTATCAAATTTTGATAAGTTGATGAAATGTCCAATTAAAATTTAATTATTTACTTTGACCTCAACTTTTCAAGATTTTTCAATCAAGTAAATATTTCAAATTTCACAATTGTAATCATCGACCACATGCCATTGGATGGATGGAAGCCTATGTATAAGTAACACGTGTCATCTAAAAACTAAAAGAAAAAATAAATAGATATTTATGGACCTATGGTACATCGAAACGTTTAATAAAAAATTCCCCCGTTAGTAATTTATTCTTATTCTTATAGAAAATGAATCAAATTCTTGCTAAGAGCCTATGGTTAGAATCCAATTACCTCACTAGTCAACAACTTTTGACTTGATTTGTACCGCAATTAGTATAGTAATAATAGTTAAAAAATAATACAATCAACCCACTATCTAGAGAATAAAGTTAATTAGTCATGGTTAAAAAGGGAAAAGGAGAAGACGGAATGGGATGACGACAAATGATTGTGTGTTTTTTATTTTAATTTTTCAAACTGTCCAATCGAGATGAGATATGTGTCACCCCTATTTTTCACCCTAAATGTGTAATAGCATCGCTATCTAGATATTTATAATAATGATTTCATAACATTAAACCCATAATTATTTATTTAATTAGTTATTAATGACATCATATTTTATCCTCAATCCATAGATTATTATAAACATGCTAGAGTCCGCTCAGAATGTTTATCATTTGACCAAATACATTTTTTATATATATATTTACTAATTATTTATGTAATTAGAATCTCGTTGATCCAATAGTTGAGTGAGTTGACTTCTAAAAGAGAATATAGTCTTTTTATCGCGAGTTTTCAAAATGCACTCAATTTTTTTAATTTTAAAGCTCAATGTTCTCCACATAAACACTCCACCATTTAGAATATTAGGAATACTTTAGTATTTCTTAATTAAAATTATAATTAATAATTAGTTTTTAATAATTACTTGTGAGCAAAACTATGCTGCTTATTATACACGTAAGCATGTAAAAAGAAATTGGGGGTATGAATCAAGATTAAAACAAACACTGATTTGTTATTTGATTTCTCATTTATAATTCGTCCAAAATTCATAATATTACGGAGATTCAAAACTTTGAAGAGTACACAGATACTATGTAAGGATCAACTTCACAAACTTTTGTCAATACGTCTCGTCTTATACTTGACCATCAAAACTTTGGGAACTTTCTCCTGATATATGTATAACACAAGAAGATGTGATCCTAATAAATGCATTATTCCATATGTACATAATTGCACTGTTGGTCCCCAATTTATTGTATCAATAGCAAATTCATTCTTGACTTTAAAATAGAGCATGTTTCATCGCGGATATTTCATTATAGTTGTAACAGTTTCAAATCAAATTCCGACGTGTCTTGCTCATTTTCAACCAAATTGAATGAGGATTTGCTTTCCAATTTGGAATAATATTAAAAATTTCGAAGTGATGCATAGTTCTATAAAGATCTCATGACAATTCGATAAAGAATCGAACAATTATAGTCATTATACACTGATTTTGATACAAAGAAATCTTCTTTGAGAAATAATTTCGATCTAAAAGTTAGAAATCAGCTTATAGTGGATCTGGCAAATAAGTAAATGGATATTAAATGGGGGCGAGTCGAGCGGAGATTGGGCGAGGCTTGCTAGGTGAGCCTGCTCGCTCAATGAAAGTGTGGCTTGACTCGCCCCACAAGTTCACCTCTTGATGGGGCTCGTGAGCCACTCATGACTCGTCATATATTTTTTTTCTTTTTATTAAAATTGCATATCTCTTAGTTCGTCAAGTCGACTCGTGAGTCATTAATGAACCAACGAGCTTGAGAGCGAGCAATTCGTATTGCCAAATCTTTGCTTGATTCGCTTCCATGGCTCATCTTGGCCGAGCCAATGAGAGGTTTGCTCTTCCTAAAGTTCATTCCAATTAACACCTCTATGATTAGTTGAAGTCGTTCTCATAGGGAAATTGTTAATTATGATTTTTTTTTCTTTGCCACCAAATTATAGTGGCCTGATTCAATTGCTTCCTCCTTAAGCCATTTTCATCCAATCACTCTGGTTTTGCTTTACATAATTGAGAACTTCTTAGAAGAAATAGTGATTTTAGCCTTATCTTATTTGCCGCGACCTCTCGCTTTCACCATTATTTTTCCTACAAAATATCATTTTTTTTTCAAGACATTCGCTGCATTAATTTTGACTTTCTATAACGCACAAAATTACATCATGCAACTTTTGTAAGAAATTGATTGTAAAGTTATTGTTAGTTCACTGCACTAACAATAATTTTAAAAATCAACTATACCCACAAAGAATTCTTGATCAAGTGAATTAATATAAGATAATTTTATATTCATATTAAAAAAATTCTCCCGAAAAGGTAAATAAAAATTTAATTGTATTCAAAATTTTAAATTTTAAGGCCGTAAAATTGATACTTCAAATTCAATAATATACAAAACCATCCATTTTCTCTTTCATTGAAAATGATATTTACATCTAGTTTTTCCATGACCAAATCAAACTGGTCGTTAAAAACTATTTTCAACGACTAAATTATAAGTTTGGCCGTAAAAAATAGATTATAAATACTTTAATATTAAATTAGATGAAAATATCTTATAACGACCAGATTTTTATGACCACATTAAAATTGATTGTTGTGACCGGGGGCCAAATAAAAAATTTCCACCAAAATATTTATTAATATTCAACGACAACATAATCGGTTGTCAGAAACACAAATAATATAGTAAATATTCAACGACCACAATATCTGGTTGTTAATATAGAAAAACAATAGCTAATATTATCTCATTGTTGGAACTAAAGGAAAATTCGACATTCAATGACTATTTCGGTAGTAGTCGTTAAAGGTGACATTCAACGGCCGATGATTTGTAGTCATTGAAAGTTCATGATGACCTGGTTACCAACTCTAATACGGCGTCAAAATAGTTTTCGACATTCAACGACTAGTACTACGTAGTCGTTAAAGGTGACATCCAATGACCGATTATGTTTTGACAACCTAGTTAACAACTTTAATTTGACGCCAAAATAGTTTTTGACATTTAACGACTATACAGTTGGTCGTTAAAAATAACTATGCAGTGAAAAAACTGTTTTAATTAATTGTAAGCATAAAATTTATTGTCAAAAGTATTAAAAAACTTTCAAACCGACTATGTGCCCGTAACTACGTATTTTGGGTGCTTTAAATAAAATAAAAAATAAAAAAGACGGTTGCTTTGGATCCACCCTGGGCACAGGGGAAACATAGAAGAAATCTTAATAGCATAATTAATGTTTATCTAATACATGTTTAAATCATTTTCCCAGTATATTTATACTATTCTAATAGATAACATATCATCACGACTTTTAATTTATTTAGTTAACTACTTTAATTATTCATGTTTCAGCTATGCTGAAATGCCCAAGGAAGAGAGGAACAAAATTTCTCACCATTCCGTGGCTCTTGCTTTGGTAAAATCCCATTTTACAGAGGCTATACATACTTTATCGGGTAACTTATAATTCTTTCCTGCTTATTTTTTTCTTCCTCTTCAATTGGAAAGGTTATTTCAAATGGTACAAGGATAGAGAATGACGGGTTACTTGATGGAAAACGATTTTCATGTTCGGTTCAAAGAGCACTTTTTTCGTTGAGAATTCCTTGTTCCACAAGTACAGGAAGCCTGAGTCGAACTCGACGTTTATGGAAGCATGGCCCTGAGTGCAACTTCCAAAATCATTTGGGATCTAAGTTTTTTATATCGAGAACACCAATGATTGAACTGGGTGTAATTTTTTGTTTAAGTCATGATATTTGATATAATTTAGTTGGGGATATTTTAAATGATTGAATGTTCAAGAAACTTTTAGTTCTCGTTGATATTATTTATAATTGCTTTCATTCACTTCTTATAATTTCTTATGGTTGTGGGTAAGATTTATTTGTAGTATGATGTCAATGTGTAAGTTACAGATTTTAACGAATAAAATAGTTATTACAACAACTAAATGAATGGTTGCTGAAAAAAGAATTGATTATAAGTAAAAACCTTTTACGACAAGTTATTTAGTTGTTAGAATAATACATTTAATGACCAAATATATTTTTAGTCGTTGAATATATTCGCCAACTGCTTTTGATAAAAAAAATTAATTTAACCGCTCTCGAACATGAACTGTTTCCACTTTTTTTTCAAGTTTAAAAATCAACTTGCCACTAAAAAAATGTATTAAAAACCAATCTTGCAATTTTCCCTATATTTAGAGATTGGTGAGAGAGATGTGAAAATGAGCTCACCTTTGATAAAGATTTTTGATATTATAAGCTAAATCTCAAGAAATATGTGGTTAAAAGATGAATAAAATAAAATATATGGTAAAAAACGAAGTTTGATCAGTTAAAAATTTGGGGGGAAAAAAAATTTACCAACCAAGAGCTGAATTTCATTTTCATCAGGAGGGAAGGAAATAAAAAAATAAAAAAAAAATTAGTAATATTAATAGCTGCAATAGGAAACAAATGAAAAGGAAGTCCAGTGGTGCAAAAGACAGGAATGAGATTATCTCACGCCTTATTGGCAGCCACAGTGTGGGAGTTTGATTCCTGAGACATGAAATTGAACTCCTTGTAGGCGCAGTGTACAGGCAGTTCTTGTTCACTGGCCTGTTAGGATACATCCCGCGATTTACCTCCCTCACAAAGTTTTAAGGGCGGAGCGATTGAGACTTTCAAAGTTAGGGTTCAACCTTTTTTTTTTTAAAAAGTGAAAAGGGTCTTTTCATGGTGGAGAATAAGAAGGGTCCCACTCTCATGGACGCAATTCCCACAGCCTTTTTGGGCTACTACAAATACCCCCCAACATTCCACTCTTTTTATTTGTAACAAGCATCCAAATTCACAGCCTCACTTTTATATCCTCAAATATCATCTTCATATATATCATCCATTTCTTCTTAGCTTGCAACTGTCATCCACATCCATTGGATGCACTTGTTTGCTGATAAACAAAATCTTGCTTTGTAACTTGAGATTTTGTTTGCTTGTCTTTTCTTTTTTTTGATATTTCTATAATTTGGTGCAGACGAAAAACTGTTTGCATCTTCTCCCGTTTATTGAAAGAGCATTGGATAGTGTCAAGTTTAGTTATACTTAATTCCTCTCACCAATCACATTTCTAGTACATAGAAGGCGGCGGATCCTCTTGCGTACGTGAAAAGGTGTGAGATCAACTCGTACTCAAAAACCGGTGAAAGGACAGAATCCCGGGAAGGAAGAAATTCAAGAAAGGACCTTAACCTTTAAAGGTTGACGAGATGGCACCAATTAAGGGCATTGAGAAACTAGGTATAGTCGCCATTCTTGATTCTGATATTAAACCAGTAGCCTCCTTAAGAAGAACACTTTCAGCTGATATGTCTTCAAAGAAATGGCTGTCACAAAATGGGCTTTTCTCTATGAAAAAGATTGCATCATCTGAAGGACTAGTGATCAACGGTGCTGATTCATCTTCTTCGTCTGAAATTGAAGAAGAATATGATGAAAATATGCCAGGACAAGATGAAATTTGGAGGTCAATTCAATTACAGAAAGAGAAGCAGAATAATCAGACAGATCAAAATCCATCAAGATTAGATTCTTGGGGTTCAATTCTATCTCAAAAGAATTATCAAGATTCATCCAAGGAGTCTCCACCACCTTACGTTCATCCTCTCGTGAAAAGATCAGCCAGCAGCTTGAGCCAGAAAAGTCTTGAAATTTGTACTGAAAATCTTGGATCAGAAACTGGCTCGGAGGAGTTCTCCTCGGGCCCGGGCCCTGACCCTCCTCAAACAGAAAATTACTGCCAAGAAAAAGTGTCCAAATCCTTCGGAGATATTAATGGTGTCAAGTACAAAACAGTGTCACCTCGGCCACTTCCCCCTCCAATTTCTTCCATTGGCGGTGGCGATGGAAATTCACTTCGTATGCACTGCCACCGCCAAAATGGGAGGTTAATTCTTGAAGCCGTGTCTGTTCCTTCAGAAAACTGCTTCCGGGCTAGCCGCAATGAAGGCCGCCTTCTCCTCACTTTGATCAACCCACCCACTTTTCTGGCTGCAGCCACGGTGGAGGAGGTGGCGTCACCGGCACCGGCAGATGTGGAGGTGGAGGTTCAGTCTGTGATTGAGCAGAATCCAAATCCAGCAGGTTGGATTTTAAGTGTGGATAAAGCAGGATTAATGGTGAATAACTTCAATGGACTAAGAAACAAGATGAGTCCAACATGGGCTAACAAATTCAACAAAACTGTGAAGTTAATGGAGGTTGGGGAGGAACTGCCACTTCCACCACTACTACCACCCAGAGTAGCTCGCCTTATTTCCCCGCCACCTCCGCCGCCGCATCCACTACCAGCCGTTGTCGCCTCCTATAATGCCTACGAATACTTCTGGCGGAACAAGACAAGCTTCATCACTACTTCACAATGCATTCCCCTCAAAAACAAGAAGAAGATTTCCCATTCCAGTGGTGAAAAAACGTATGAACACCAAGATTTGGTGCTCATTAGCCCTTCGTTGAAGGGATGCAAAGAGCAAAGGAAGTCTCTATTAATTTGGGAGCCATACTGCATTGCCACCTCCTAATGATCAAAATTTCTCAAATCCCAGCTTTTAATTATTCAATTATAATCATTTCTAAGTTTGTCACTCTTTCTTCTGTCGAATAGAATTGTGTTTCCGAATAAACATAAGAGTGTTTATGTGATTCGATGACTATAAAAAAAAAATTTAATAATAATAATAATAAATAAATATTAAAAAAATCATTAATTGTTATTGTATACTGTTTAAAAATACTTCTCAAATGTAAATAATCACTAGAACACAAAAATTTTTGTCTACAGTTTTTTTGAAGAATGTGTGGTAAAAAAATAAAAAAAGAATTGAAATGAAGTGTAATATCATTTTATTGAAAAATATGTAATTAACAAAAAAAGAAAAAAATGGATTATAATTTTAACGGGCAAACTGGGGTTAAATACCTCCTGAACAAGCACAAATGTGACGCCCAAAGTTTGACTTGGTGCCTTGTTCAGTGTCTGTGTCATAATGAATTGGCCTTTTCGTTTTCAACTTTTGCAATGGTAACCTATGGGCAAATTTTGTTGGTCGTTTGTGGTCCACTCGATCTTAAATCTTGGGAACATCATGATCAATCCTTGATATGATCGGTGTCCTTAGTTTAAGATTTATGAATATAATTGATATTTATAATTCTTTTCTTATGAGAAATTGATATTTATAATTCAATATACTATGTTTAATTAATATTTAAAAAGGCTAATCGAGTATTGACTTATTTTTTTATTGTAAAGATGATGAGTCTCGAAGTACTTTAGGGACTTGTTTGATAGAATTTAGGCTTTGTTTGTGGCCCTTTAATTTCAAAAATTGGAGTATGAAATAGTAATTAAAGTTGAAATATGTGGTTAAAAAAGAAGGAATTTTTTTTTATTTATGTGCAATATTATTTTAATGAAAAATATGTGGTTGAAAATGAGTACTGTAGAAAAAATAATGTGGTAAAATATGAGAAAATGATTGACAAACAAGGGCTTATTTGGGAATAATGAGTTACTGAATAGTATTTTTTTAAGAATGTGCGGTTAAAAAGTAAGGAAACTTTATTGATTTATGTGTAGAATATTTTATTATATGAATGTATTGTGAAGAATGATCCCATAGCAAAAAATTTAAATTTTTAAAGGATAACAAACATGAGCTTAATGTAAGCCTAGTCACAACCATTTAATTAAAAAGCATTTGTATAGAAAAAAATAGGAGTATATATTGTCATTGAATATAAAACTAAGTGCTTGTTTGGTACAGATTTCAAGTTAATTAAAATCAATTTTTTGACCATTATTTCACTATTTCAATAATCATTTTTAAATTCTTCTCTCATAGATAGAATTTACTTTATTTCTAATGATCAAAAAATCAATTATCAAAATTCCTACAAAACGAGCGATAATACACAGCAAATTATTTGTTTTTTAACATATCATGAATGAAAAGTACAAGTAGAACACTAGATTTATGCTTGAAAGCACCTTTACAACATCCAAAAACTCATATGCTCCAAAGAAAAAAAAAGGCATGATCTAAACCACCATCATCTTCAAGAAATTCCATATGAACAAATCGGTTAAACAAAAAACAAAAAATATCTCGAGCAATACTATTTGTAATTGAAATGTAGCAAATCATATAAAAATACTCATTCTCGCATTTCTACAAGGAAAATCATTAATTAATCTTTTGTAATCAATTTTTTTCTGGCAAATCATGTTCAATATATATTAAAACAAGCACATTTGATCTGTCTCGTGACATGGTTTACTGCAAATAAGATTTCAATAACTTGTTTAGCAAATTCAACTGCAATCGGTATTGTAAATATTATTCTATAAACAATAAATACATTTCGAAAATAATCAAATATTTTTCACGTGAGTCAATATATTAAGAATTCTCTTTATTCTTCTGGTAAAAGATTTCACAAAACCTTTAGCTCTTGAAACACATCTTAGCCATCAACATCATAAAAATTTCCACGTTTTGGAATAATCACACGATGTTTTCAAATTAGCATCATCCAATAAATTTTAACTTCTCGAAAGAAAATAGAAACTAAATTTTTTTTTTCTATATGTAGTGAATTCATCAAACATCCTCTCTAGCGATCCAATTGCTTAATCTACTATATAAAGGAAATAACTGGTTCTAAATAATCTTCCGGTGATCGTGTCCCCTCCACGGTGGAATTTTCATCAAAATGCAAATTATACGTTTTACCAGAAACTTGTGTCCAATTTTCATTTCAATAGCAATTTCTTTAGCAAAATTTATGACATCAATGAATCCAATTTTCCCTTATTTTTTAAGGAAGGCAACCAATGGATCGTTTCACTTCCTCGATAGCAATATCAATAAGCATAGTATTAGATTGCAAGTGTTTGCTAGTTAAGTTAACAACATACAATATCCCATACCATATAATCATAGCTTCTAGCAAAATTCAAAAATTCGACACTTCACATCATTGATCATTGTCATTTTCAATTAAAGCATGTTCACAACAAATAAAACACTAAAAAATGATTACAAACAGTCGTTTGGGCACGAGGGAGAGCAGAAACAGCTTCTTATCTTCAAAGGTTATTGGTCATTACATTGTACAAACACAAATTACACAGAAAAACCTCTATTATACACGAACAAATAAGACGAGTATGATTCTATCTCACCAACCTTGTATACGAACTTCAAGTCCTCTTACAAGTTACAACGCAAATAACAATAATGCACCTACCGAATGGACGAAAAATATATAAAGATGGAAGAAACGAAGCCTACCCACACAAAGGAAGAACTGACACTGTATCTTCCACCTGTTGTGGATCATGTACAGCTTTTGGAAATCCTGAACTGCTTTCAGCACAACAAATGTAGTCTACAACTAGCCGCCTGCAACATGTTCAAACTCTTCGACTTTATCTTTATCTTCTGAAGGCACTCCAGTGAGACAAAGAGAATAACTTATCTCTGCAGAATCCTCAACATGGAATCATGCTATGTACAGATCACTGGAAATTTCCTAGTGTTAGCATGAGCCTGGAGTACGGTAAAGCAATCTGGGAGCAAAATCTAAATCCAAGCAAGAGAACCTCTATCATTAGTCACTTGAGGACGGCCCCTAGTTGGTGTAGGCGGTCTGTTAGCATTGAGCTCCTAGTTTCACAATACAAACAAAGATCAACATCAGCACAAGAGGACACGAAGTTGATTGGAAGGAAATTGCATCATTGGCCCAAGTACTGTCCCAGTACTAAGTTGGTCCCCAACCTTGCAATACAGCCCTTGTTTGATCCCCATTCTTTGGTAAAAATGCATTTTTCAACAGTATTGTGATATCATTTCAACCACACATTTTTCAATAAAATAATATTACACACATATCTAAAACTTTTTCTTATTTTTTAACCGCACATTTCACATCAATACGCTATTCAAAAATTCATTCTATACCCCAAAATGGGGCTCAAACAAGGGCACAGTTGTGCAATAGGTCCCGATATAATATAAAAAGGATCAAAGGCTTCCAAATCTTTTAAATCGTTAAGTGGCCCTGATGGAAACATTTCAAAT